TACACCAGAGTGTCAGTGAAATAAAACTGGAACTAATACTACCTGGGTGCACAGAGAAGTTCCAGGCCGAAATGAGAAAACTGCCTATTGAATGACAAACGGGATCAATTCATAAGTAAGCAAGTCCTTCCTGACCTGTGTCTGCACTGTCGTGAACTCAGTGGAGAACTATCCGTCTTACTCCCTTCTCACCCCAAAGGAGCCTGATAGACTAGAAGACAAGGCTGGGGATGGAGAAAGGAGATGGGATTCCAATCCTTCCCTGCATACACCACTCATGAATCTCCAAACATTCACCTGCCTTGATCTGTCACTGTCCAAATCCACAGACAGGGTAACCTAAGGCCGACAGGGAGAGCCCTCTCCTTCTCAAGAGGGAAGTGCAAAGAGGCTTATATGCTGCTTCTCCAAAGGAAAATATCAAAATCCGCATTAGTTGTTACCTTAAGAAAAATATACTGCTAAACTTACCACCTTTAGCAACTAAGAGCACCAATCAATAGGGTCAGATACATTTATCTTGCTGTGCAACAGGTATCTGGAATATGTACATCTTACAAACTCTATTGCTACAAATCCTCCTCATGAATGGACCACATACCCACCTTTCTGCACTCTGTCTCTGATTGTGAGTACATTAGATACTCTCTATGAATAGACTCACAGAATTTGTCCTTCTGGGACTGGATTATTTGGTTTAGCACTATGTCCTTGAAGTTCATCCATGTCACTGTCTACAGCACAGAACGTTCTGCTTTTCTATGGCTGCATAGTATTCCACTGTGTGCTTACACCACATTTTCTTTGTGTATATATGTAGAATGAAATTTGCCTTCCTTACAAATTGTGGCCAGAGTGGATGGTGCAATGGTAGATAGTCCTTGTATTTCCTTGATATCCTGCTTTGAATTATTTTAGATACACACCCAGAAGCAGGATAACCAGATCATATGGTAATTCTGTTTTTTGAATTTTATGAAGAACCTACAGTGTTTTCCAAAATGACTATATCATTTTATATTCTCACCATCAGTAATCAAATGTTGATAAAAATTCATATCTTTACCAATCCATGTAACTTTTCGTTCCATCCTAATTGTGTGAGATCTCATTGAGGTTTTGATTTCCATTTTCCTTACGGTTAATGGGATTGGACATATTTTCATATGCTTATGCCCTTATATATTTAGTTTATTTTTAAAGATTTATTTATTTGAAAGGCAGAATGAGTGAGAGAATCTTCCATCTTTTGGTTCACTCCCCCAAATAGGTGCAATGGCTGGGGCTGGGCCAGGCTGAAGCCAGAAGCCTAGAACTCCATCTAGGTCTCTCATGTGGGTGTCAGGGACCCAAATACTTGAGCCATCTTCCACTGCTTTCCCAGGCACATTAGCAGGGAGCTGGATCAGAAGTGGAGTAGCCAGGACTTGAACCAGCATGCATGTAGGATACTGGGGTCACAGGTGGTGGCTTAACCCACTCTGTCATGACACAGGTCCCCAATATCTTTGGAGAACTGTCTAGTCAAGCACTTGGCCCATGCTTTAAATCTGGTAATTTGCCTCAATCCCTGAATTTTTCTGTCCTTTTACTATACACTGTTTTGGGATTCATCTATTTATTCAACTATTCACATTTCTTCTATTAACTCTGAGGCAAAATTTTCCAGGAACCATGACAAGTGTGTTCTAGGCACCTAAAGTACATCATGTTCCAGAGTGAATCAATAATTCCCAGTCCACCAAACAAATATGACTTCTCTACTCTCACTGGCTACTCATAGCTCTAAGTGACATGAAAGCAGAGTGATTTTCTCATGTATCCGTTCAGATATATTAACCTTGACTCTGCACTTGGCCAAGCTGTGCCAGCTGTGGCTGTGCACTATGGCCGAGGACAGGAGCTGAAACTAGGGCCCAGTCAAGAGGAACATCTCCAGCAGAGTCCAGGGGAGTTGCCAGGTGATGTCAAGGCAGGAGGCCTTCCCTGGACATTACCAGACCATGGTGTGTGGAGACCCCTCTGCACCTGCACTTAACCCAAGTTAAGTTATCCTTGTGGATAGTGTGGTGCAGCTTCCCCTAACCCACAGGTATGGAGTAGAGGACACTGTCAACTAGAACCTTGCCAAGCTCCTGCATGGAAGTCTGCAGCCAGGCCTGGGGGCATGAGAGCCCTGCCTAGCCATTTCCATTGCTGCTTCTGATGCCCATGATGAACTCACTGAAAGAGAAATCAAGAAATCCCACTCATAACAGCCACCAAAAAATCAAATATTTAGGAATAAATTTAGCTGAATAAGTGAAAGATCTCTACAATGAAAATCATCAAACATGGGGCCAGTGCCATGGCTCACTTGGTTAATCCTCCGCCTGCAGCACCAGCATCCCATATGCGCACTGGGTTCTAGTCCCAATTGTTCCTCTTCCAGTCCAGACCTCTGCTGTGGCCCAGGAGGACAGTGGAGGATGGGCCAAGTACTTGGGTCCCTGCACCCGCATGGGAGACCAGGAAGAGGTGCCTGGCTCCTGGCTTCAGATCAGTGCAGCGCCAGCCGTAGTTGCCATTTGGGGGGTGAACCAATGGATGGAAGACCTTTCTTTCTGTCTCTCTCTCTCTCACTAATTCTGCCTGTCAAATACATAAAAAGAAAGAAAGAGAATCAGATTTAAAAAAAATAAAATCATCAAACATTGATGAAGAACTCATCAAGGATACAAAAAAAAAAAAAAAATGGAAAAGACATTCCTTGCTTCCTTGATAGGAAGAATCAGTATCATTGAAATATCTACACTACCAAAACAATCTACAGGTTCAATGCAATCCCTATCAAAATACCAATGACATTCTTTACAGAATTGGAAAACACAATCCTAAAATTTGCGTGGAATCACAAACAATATAGAATAGCCAAAGCAACCATAAAGAAAAAAATCAAGCTAGAGACATCAAAATACCTGATTTCAAAGCATTCTACAGGGGCCAGCACTATGACATAGCAGGCAAAGCCGCCACCTGCAGTGCCAGCATCCCACATGGGTGCAGCTTCAAGTATCAGCTGCTCCACTTCCAATCAAGTTCTCTGCTTTGCCCTGGGAAAGCAGTGGAAGACAGCCCAAATTCTTGGATGCCTGCACTCATGTAGGAGAATCAGTGGAGGCTCCTGGATCCTGGCTTCAGATCAGCTCAGCTCTAGCCATTGTGGCCATTTGGGGAGTGACCCAGGGGATGGAAGACCTCTTTCTGTCTCTCTTTGCCTCTGCCTCTCTGTAACTCTGCCTTTCAAATAAATAAATAAATAAATAAATAATTTTAAAAAGCGTATTACAGGTGCCAGTGCCGTGGCGCAGTGGGTTAATCCTCCATCTGCGAGGCTGACATCCCATATGGGTGCAGGTTCTAGTCCCGGATGCTCCTCTTCCATTCCAGCTCTCTGCTGATCTGGGAAAGCAGTGGAAGATGGCCAAAGTCCATGTGGGAGACCCAGAGGAGGCTCCTGGCTCCTGGCTTCTCGGCTCAGCATAGCTCTGGCCGTTGTGGCCAATTGGGGAGTCAATCAGTGAATGGAAGAACTCTCTCTCTCTCTTGCACTCCTTCTCCCTCTCTCAGTGTAACTCTGACTTTCAAGTAACATCAATAAATCTTTTATTTTAAATAAAGAAAATTTACCTACTTTAACAGGAGTCATTTAAAATAAAAGGAAAGAGACATCATAGAGCATTTGCTATAAACCATAGCAAAAACTGAGATACATGACAGATCCCTCCACACCACCTATTCCTGGAAGAGATTTATACTCCACTGAAGACACGGGATTGTAGGGGGAAAAAGTGTTTTTCTAGACAACTTGCTGACTCCTTGAGACAATGGAATGCACATGGGGAACTGTGACGTTAACTTGATCCTAACACCAAGGACGATGGTGAGAACGGGGGCAGCTCACACACATCACAGCCTCACAGAGACTTTCCCCCTGTCACTCAGCCATGCAACAGGCCCCACGCCATGGGTTAGGCTAACACTATCAACACATTCTCTTTCATTCCAAGAGCTCCATACTCCACAGTTGTAAATGTTTCTAGGAAGAAAGAGAACAAGAAATGCAGGGAGATGCACTGCTTCCAGGCTCCAGTCCCACAGAAGGTCATCCCCTCCAAGCCCATCCCAGAGACATCGCATGATGCACCCAGAGGCAAAGAACTTCTGGGACACAACGGGCTTGAATGACTCATCCAGGGTTGTTCAACTTCCCACCCCTGGGACGCTGACACATTTTCAGTGACCTCCACATCACAGGTCCAGGGCAAGTTCCCTGTGTCACCCACCAAAGTTCTCAGTGCTCTGCCCTAGGGGTGTCCACAGGGCCCCATGGCCACTATGCACATACTTTAAATATGATTATCCATTTTGCCTATGCTTTGTAAATGTACATAAAGAATGGATTTTAAGTTTTCTGTTTATGTTATTTATTTTAAACCAGGGTGATGACAGAGAGATAGGAGACAGACAGAGACAGGGTGAGAGAGAATTCCCACAGTTAAGGGGTATGGAGTGAGAGGGGAGAGAGAGATCTATCTTAAACCCACTGGTTCATTTCCTAGATGGCAACAATGGCCAGGACTGTGCTAGGTTGAAATCGGGATCCAGGAGTTCATCCATGTCCCCGATGTGGGTCGCAGAGGCCCAAGCACTTGGGCCATCTTCCGCTGCTTTTCCCAGGCCATAAGCAGGGAGCTGGATTGGTAGTGGAGCAGCTGGGAGGACATAAACCAACCCCCATACGGGATGCTGGCATTGCAGGTGGTGGCTTTCCCTGCTGTGCCACAAAGCCAGCCCCAGCTTTGCACTATTTTTAAATATGAGATTCCCTTTTGCCTATACTTTAGAAATGTCAACAATGAAACTAAAATAAATTCAAAATTTAAATTATTTGTTTTAAAGGCAGAGTGACAAGAGTGAGAGAGATTTCTCTTCAGCTGGTTCACTCCCTAAAAGCTCACCTCAGGAAGAGCTGGGGCAGAGTGGTTCCAGGACCCAGGAACTGAATCCAGGTCTTCCACAAGGGTGTCAGGGACCCTGGTAGTTGCGCCATGACCTGCAGCCTCCCAGCAGTCACAGAAGCTGGAAGCTGGAATCAAAAGCAGAGTCAGGAATCAAATCCAGGCACTCTGATACAGGACGTGGGTGTCCTGAGTGGCAGTGCAACTACTGTCCCAAACACCAGCCCTGAGGAGACTTCACAATGCAGCAAGTGGTGTGCATATTCATGAATCCTGAGACCTTAGAGAATTAGTCATCCCCAAAGACAGCCAATCCTTATTCCTGATGGACACTCTCAGGTGTAAGAGAACTCTGTGCCAAAACGTGCAAGAACAGAGCAACAAGGAATGTTGTGCATGACACACCACACACCAACACTCACACGTCACCCATGGATACACCGATATCTGTGTCTTTTACTATGTCACTCTAAAATATCACTGTGGCACTACACTACTGTATCAACATCTTCCACACTATACTCCACCAGCTACTATATATCACTATCACAATATGTCAGTATAGGGCTATATTGGTCGTATCTGTTTATCACCATATCTCTCACCATACATATGATTTCACTGTATATCACTCTGTCTCTGTGTATCACTGTCACTGTATATCACCATATCTGTCCTTATGTATCACTATATCACTACACATCACTACATCTGCCACTATGCATTACCATATCTACCCTATATATTACTGTATCTGTCACTCTATATCACTATACACCTATATTTGTCACTGTACATCACCATATGTCACTGAATATTGCTTTGACACTGTATACCACTCTACCTGTCTCTGTATGTCACTATTATCTGTCACTGTATATTAACATATCACCAGATATGACTGTATCTCATGGTGTATCTCTGGGTCACTGGCATCACTTGACCACTGCTCCATCACTATGCACCTCTCAGAACACATCACAGTGCACTGCACAAGTGTATTATACAGACATTATAAAACATATCTCAGACACAGTGGATGCTGATCCACATACATGTGGACAACATTCCCCCAGGAGGACACAGGTGATGACGTTTTCTAGTCAGGTCACAAAGAACCAAGAGACTCAAGAAAATACTCTTCATCCACACATGATTATTGCATCCTGCAAACTCCCCCTATATCTGCCTGAGTCAGCCCCACTCACAGGATCAGGCGTCTGAGTTGAACCTATCACCATGGAAGTCATTACTGAGAACCTCTGGGTCACCTCCAAAGCAAAGCCACTCTGAAGGAGTCTGCTTGCCGGGCCTTGTGACCAGGCTTTGCCCCAGGCCCCACCTGAGATAGAGGGTGAACCCAGCACACCCACATGTGAGAGGCTGAACTGAATCCACCCCATGCCATGCTCTCCTTAGTGCCCACTCTGGCCAAGCTGGGTGATGAGCTGGGAGATGCAGGCAAGTATGAGTTAGGGGTGGAGAAAGAGGCCAGGGCCACCCCTCCTCTGACATAGAGCTTCCCCCACCGAGCCCTGGACTCTGCTAATTCCCAGAGGTCAACCCTGTACTGTTGACTCCCCAAGTCATCCTTGATCCCTTCACACCCTCCCAACATCACCTGCCCTCCTATCACTCTCTCCACATTTCTAGCACACCGTGACAGCCCCAGTCTGAGCCACACCAAGGAACCACCACAACTACACATTGTCTCTTTTGTCCACCATCCTGCACAAGTGAGGAAATAAAGCACACAGGGGCTTTCCCTCGCTTGTCCAAAGTCCCACAGTCCAAGCCTGAAGATCAGTCACCAGAGGTTTCTCTTTGCCACCTTAGACTTATCTTCCAGTACCTGTGACATACATGGTCGTAATAATAATATCAACCTCAGAGAGAGTTTGAAATACTTAAATCCATTCGTGTTCCTTAAAAAAATACTTCTCAAAACACAGGACTGAGTCAAAAACCATAGGAAAGGGCTGGTGCTGTGGCGTAGCTGGTAAAATGCCACTGCCTGCAGTACCGGCATCCCATATGCATGCTGGTTCAAGTCCTGGCTGCTCCAATTCTAATCCAGCCCTCTGCTATAGCTTGAGAAAGCAGTGGAAGAAGGCCCAAGTTGTTGAGCTTCTGCAACAATGTGGGAGACCCAGAAAAAGCACCAGGATCCTGGCTCATGGTCATTGCTTTGCATTGGTGTAGCTCCGGCCATGGCAGCCAACTGGGGAGTGAACAAGTGCCTGGAAGACTCTCTCTCTCCCTCTCCCTCTCCCTCTCCCTCTCTCTCTCTCCCTCTCTCTCCCTCTCTCTCCCTCTCTCTCCTTCTCTCTCCCTCTCTCAACCTTTCTCTCTCTAACTTTCTCTCACTCTCTCACCCTTTCTCTCTCTCCCCCCCCTCTCCTCTTTCCACCTCTCTCTGTCTCCTCCTCCCCTCCATG